CTCAATTGTGTTTTATGAACTATAAGTGTTTCTTCTTCACATGAGTTCTTGTGTCTGCTTCCTTGCAGTCTCATATCTTCCTGCTCAACTGTGATGTTTGCTGCAGTTTCCCCTTGCCGGAAATGCTCGGTACATTCTCTTTATTTTATTTTTACTTCAAATCTTTTGTGGACTCATCTTTTGGTTTTGATGGTCCTTCTCACTCTTGCTACTTTTATTCCACAGACGCTCACAGGGTATATGGTGGAATTGGAACTCTTCTTGTGATCAAGGTTTGTGATTGAGCATATGATATAGTCTTATTTTTGTTTCTCGTGGGTTTATCAAAGTTGCTTCTGTGTTTTGGTTGTTTAGGTCTCTCCTGAATCAGCCAGCCAATTCGGAGAACTGGTTGCAGATCCAGTTACTAATGAGCTGCTTCATTACACCGAGAAACCTGAAACTTTTGTATGTACATATCACTGAGATGCCTCAAATCTTTAGCATCTTCAAAATTGATTATAATGTTTTTATCTTCAACACACAGGTCAGTGACCGTATTAACTGCGGTGTTTATGTATTTACACCTGACATTTTTACTGCCATAGGAGATGTTTCCTCCCAAAGGAAAGATACAGGTAAACCAGTAGCAAAGATCTACAACATAGTCTGTGTTTTCTTCTCGCAGCTTCCATCTTCATGAACTTTAATCTGTTTCCTCTTTGTGCTTTGTTCCTTTTTTTTCTTTTAGCAACTCTGAGACGTGTTTCCAGCTTTGAAGCTCTTCAACCGGCAACAAGGTTTGTCATTTGTCTCTTTGTCCACAACAGAAAAAACCTTTGTGAATCATCTTCTTAAAGATTATATGTTTTAACTTCTTAAAAATAGGATTCCCGGAGATTTTGTAAGACTGGATCAAGACATCCTTACACCTCTAGCTGGGAAGAAGCAACTGTATACATATGAAACTATGGATTTCTGGGAGCAAATTAAATCTCCTGGGTATGCCTTGCCTTGTGTTTTCATCCATTTTTTTTTAAGCTGCAAGGAGAGAAAATGATTGGCAGCAGCTGAAACAGGGAAACTAGTGTACAAGTCTCTGACTTATGAGTTGGCTTTTGCGCAGAATGTCGCTGAGGTGCTCGGGACTCTATCTTTCCCAATTCCGGTTGACCTCTCCTCATGTGTTGGCTAGTGGTGATGGAGCAACGAGTGCCTTAGTGATTGGTGATGTTTACATACATCCTTCTGCAAAAGTACACCCAACTGCAAAGGTAAGTTATCTCTGGTTTTGTCCCTTGTTTCTTATTATTCCACTTTGTCACAGAGCATTCTGTTTCGTCTATTAACAGATTGGTCCCAACGTCTCAATCTCTGCAAATGCTCGTGTTGGACCTGGGGTCAGGCTTATCAGCTGTATCATCCTTGACGACGTCGAGATCATGGTATGTCTTCTTATGTAAGAGACTAAGAGCAAACCGGAAAAGTTTTCTCGAGGTTGACTCTTCAGTGACTGTTTGTCCAGGAAAATGCAGTGGTGACTAACGCAATTGTTGGGTGGAAATCGTCTATTGGGAGATGGTCCCGTGTCCAGGCATGTTTCTCTGTTCTGCTCACCTGTTTAAGTCTTAAAGAGTCTGACTCATTCTGTTTGCGGACCTTGAAATGTTTCTGTTTGGTGTTCTTTACAATCATGAACCTGAAGCTTTTACTTTGTTGATCACAGGCTGAGGGAGTCTACAACTCCAAACTCGGAGTTACAATCCTCGGTAAACTGTTTTTATCCATCACTCCTATAGTGTGGCTCCTTCTCTTTACAGACAGACAGCAAAATCTCCTTATAAACAAAAAAACTAATTAGAAACATAACGTTTCAGGAGACTCGGTTGCAGTTGAAGACGAGGTTGTGGTGACCAGCAGTATTGTTCTTCCAAACAAGACACTCAACATCAGTGTTCAAGACGAGATCATATTGTAAGTGAAGAAAGGAAGCAACCCTGTGGAGTCGTACCATCTCCCTCTGATTCAATGTTTACTGGAGAACACAGAAGCAAGTGTATTTGGGAACTAATTCACATGAGTCATTTATTTACATCAAAAAAACTTCCATACTTTGTATCAGATTCCATCATCTATACTCAGTCACAGTTACTGTAAAATGCACTGAATTTTGGCCAATGATAATAAAGCACTTGTGTAGTTTTTAAAATACACTGTTCTCGCTATATTATCTCATGTAGCTCTCTGAAAAGTGTATCGAAGTCTTCCCTGATCCAGACTGCACTAACTTCAACGCAGTGTCTTTTCAATTTCACATGCAGATAAGAGATTCAAAGCCTGAATTTCCGGATAAGCAGGCTACCAGATTTACTCTGCGACCTCAAGATCTCCTTTGCGAAAGCTTGATTCCCTGTCAAAAGAAGCCCATTCAGAACTCGATTAAAAGTGAATTTCCGGGGTATAAACCCTCTCTCAACCATCTCAAGCAGTAGTTTACCAGCCACCACCATATCTTCTGATCTTTTTCTCACAAACATCCCACTTATCAGTATATTATAAGTATCCAGGTTTGGCAAGCAATCCCCACTCCCCATCTTCTCAAACAAAGCCAAGGCTTTCTCAACCTCGCTGCATTCTGAATAATAACGTATCATCATATTATACGTCTGGAAGTTTGGTTCGCAGCCTTCGTTCTTCATTCTCTTCATCAACTCCTCTCCACGACTGAAATCTCCAGCGTGAAACAACCCTCTTATCAACACATTATACGTCGTCACATTCGGTTCATAACCTTTCCTCAACATTTCCTCAAACATCACAATCGCATTCTCTACACTATCTTTCTTACACAGAACCTGAATCAAAGCATTGTGTGTCGCAACAGAAGGAAGCACTCCTTCTCTAATCATCTCATCGAAGACATTCCTCGCTCGCTTTATCTCTCCCGCAACACCAAATCCGTGAACCACGGTTGTGTAAGTAACAACATCGATTTCACAGTTCCGTTTCTTCATCTCCAAGAAGAACTCCCAAGCCTGCTTAATCTGGCCTGCTCGGAAAAACCCTTTGAGCATTGTGTTATAAGTGGTGAGATTAGGGTTTATCCCTCTCTCCACCATCTCTTTCAAAACCTCCAAAGCCTTAGGCGTCCGTTTAATCAAACACCAACCATTGACGATCACATTGTAGGTAACTGTATCAACACTAAATCTTCCCCTAAGAGCCCTAAACAACTCATGAGCTTTCTCTACGCGTTTAGATTTACACAGGACATCGAGAATCGTATTGAAAGAAGCCAAGTCCTGAAAACACCCATGTTCGTGCATATTCAGAAAGAGATTCACCGCTTTATCGGGTTTTCCAGCGGAAGCGTACCTCTCGGCGACGATTGCGAAGGTTTTAGGAGAAGGACCGAGGCGGAGGGAGCGCATGCGGCGGATGAGGGACCATACGGTGGTGTAGAGGTGTAGACGGGCGGCGATGTCGATCGCGAGGTCGAAGGAGGAAGCGACGTGGACATATTCGCGGTGGTGACGATCGAGGAGGTGGAAGAATTGGAGGGCTTTTGGGCCGTGGTTCCAGAGGCGTTTGAGAACGGAGTTCACGAGCTGTGGAGTCCAGGGAGTTTTGGTGGAGAGTAGGAATTGCTCTTCGGGGATTTGGTGGGCTGTGGTGGGAGAAGAGAGGAGAAGCTTAGCAATGGCGGCGGAATCTGCCGGTGGTGGTTTCAGATTGGCGCCGGCGGCCGAAGTACAGAGCGATTTGCTAAACAGACGATTCATCGATTGGTTCAATTTTATTTCTTTTTTTTTGTTGGTTTGGTTCGTTTTTTTTAAACTGACTTCTACTAGCTTCCCAAATTTACTGAAATAGCTGTAAGCTTTTTAAAAATTACTGATCTCACTCTAAGTTCCCATTGGGATATAGATACACCCTATTCCTATTATGGTTTATCTATTTTTTTATTAATAGTATTTGGTTTAGTTTTCTCATTACAATAAAAACTTTATAAATTAATAATATTGGGATGTTTTATCAATTTATATAGTTATTAATTTATAAATAAAAAATAAAAAAAAAAATTATTTATTTTTTATTAATTTTAAAAGAAAATTTTTAAAAAGATTGTAATTTTTCAAAAATATTTCTAAAACTAAAAATGAATTCCAAAAACCTTTTCATCTAAAACAAAAAAAAATTACTAAACTCATATTTTAATAAATTATTTTACTTAAATGTTTATATCAGATTTTATTTATAATAATTATTAATTTATGATATTGATGAAACTATATATTTATATATGAATTTTTTTAAAATTATTATCTTATTATCTTATCGACTTGTATCATATTATCGATAAAAAATTAATTATAAAGTATTAATTTATAGAATTTTTATTGTATTTGAAAAAAAAAAAATATGGAAGTGCACCCTATGACGTAGGCATATGGATTCTGGATGGGATCATCGGATTCTATCCACACTCAACTTCAATATCAGATTTTCAGTAAAAGTGATTGAATGTACGAGAATTATTTGAGGTAATTAAAGTATGCAATATAATATATAGGTTTCAACATCCTGTGACTCAATGACAAAATCAGCTATTAACTACATGTCATAATCAAATTCAAATAAACCTCTAGACTCTAATCCTCTATTACCGATCATTTTTGGAGATATTTTTTCTATATATTATTTGTCCCCAAATAATACTATTTTCATCAATAAAAATTGTTTTTTCTTTTTGCAAACAATATAAGTAATTTTTGTATTTTAAAAATAAATGGTTGGTGAAAGTAAAAAAGGGAAAAAAATGGAAAAAATTTACAGTAGTTGAGTAGAGTAGTCGCTGTCAGAAAGAAAGAAAGAGCAGACAAAGGATTGTAAAATCAAAAAATTGGGTCCCTCAAAAGATATTGACCGTGAAGACACAATATTACGTTATCTGACAACACACATAAACACATCACTCATCGATTTTAGATTCTCTCAAGATCTTTAAACTACAACAAGATCCGATCCTCCAGATTCTCTGCGTTAAATCCATCACCGCCTCTCTCTCTCCTATTTATGTAACTCCTCGTCTTCCCTTACATTGATTTCTGTGTCCTTTGACGTTAAATTTCTTACTAAAACGCCTTCCTCTTTTATTTTTCTTTATCTTTCCCAAGAGAAAAAAAAAACAATGGCAGTCCGAGATTTATCTTCCTCTTCTTCTTCCCCTGAGTTACATGTTCTCGCCGTCGATGATAGTTTCGTTGATCGTAAGGTTATCGAGAGATTGCTTAGAATCTCCTCTTGTAAAGGTAATAAAGGCAATACCTTTTTTTCTCTCTTTCATTCTCATTCTTTTGCTTCCTTTTGTTTTGTCTCTGATTCTTTTCCGATAATAAATCTTCTTGGTTTGTTTATACAGTGACGACTGTCGAGAGTGGGACTAGGGCTCTTCAGTATCTTGGTCTTGATGGAGACAAAGGATCTTCCGGTCTTAAGGTACTGTTTCTTTATTTCTTTGTTTCCCGACAGAAAATTAAAAATTCTCTAAAGATTGAAACTTGGTGTTTTTTTCCTGCTTGTTTGGCTCCCAAGAAATCAACGATTTGAAAATTGAGGATACCAAGACTTTACCTTTACCTGAAAAACAAGGATAATTTATCGTCAGTTCTTGATATTTGATCTTTTGTGTATCCTAAAAATGTGCTTTTGACGCTATTTATATGAACAATTCTTCCAAATATGACAACAGGATTTGAAGGTAAACTTGATAGTGACAGACTATTCTATGCCGGGACTAACAGGATATGAACTACTCAAGAAGATCAAAGTAACCTTTTTTTTTTCTCTCTCTCTTCTTTTGTCAAATTTTATTCTTTTTCATTTATGACAGCAAATTTTGAATAAGACTTTACTTAAACTCTGTTTTTTTTAAATATTTTTCTTTCCAGGAGTCTTCAGCATTCAGAGAAATACCAGTAGTGATAATGTCCTCTGAGAATATACAACCTCGTATACAACAGTAAGTGACTATATATAGTTATGATACATACTGAATTAATGAATCTCAACACGGTAATCTGATTAATGTTTTTTGTTGATTCTGTTATTTGTAAGTAGATGTATGACAGAAGGAGCAGAGGATTTCCTACTAAAACCGGTGAAATTAGCAGATGTGAAGCGGTTAAAAGAACTTATAATGAGAAGTGGTCAAGCTGAAGAAGGAAAAACCAAAAACCCTTGTACTAAGAGAATCCTTCAGGACGATATTGATTCATCTCCATCATCATCATCATCATCATCATCATCCTCCTCCTCCTCCTCCTCATCATCATCATCATCATCATCATCCTATCATGATGATGTTTCTTCTCTGGATGACGACACCCCATCTTCCAAGCGGATGAAGTTAGAATCTAGGGTTCATGATTGAGTTTGAGCATTATCTTTCTTTGTTTTTGTTCTGTGGTTTCTGTAATATACATTGAGCCAAGACAGATGTTGGATAAACTTTTGTTTTGATATATGCAAGTCTTAGAGCATGATGCTCATCATATTACTCTGTTTTAAAAACAAAAAACAAAAGAGAAGATCTTTTTTTTTTTTGGTCGAAAACAACAGAAGACCAATGTATATCTGGTTCAACAATTTTGAAAATTAGAATACTTTGCACATTAAATTGTTTCCCAAATTTATTATTACATATAATCTATCATATAATTGAAAAAGTCAACGTGAAACGATTTTTACATGGTCTTCCACGCCATACACGATTTCACTTGTATTTCTTACATTAGAAAAAAAAAAAACGAATGTATAAAATTATATAAAATAATCCTATTTCTATAGTATGAAACTTGCTCTAGCACATACGTGGCACCTTATGATTGGTTCGGTGATACCTGTTTTAGACCGTTGAGACTTGAGAGGCAATTGTGATCTTATCCCCAAACTCCAAGAACACAGAAAATTTCTTGGGGTGGTCTCTCCAATGGCTTTTTCAGCGACTCTGTCTCAGCTTTCTTCTCTATCGACAATCTCCTCTTCACTTCCACTTTCTTCTAGAAGACTTCCTCTTCGACCTCTTTCTCAATTCACAGTCAAAGCAGAGGCAGAGAAAGAGAAAAAGAGCACACAGGCTAAATCCGAAGGGGAAGCATCATCAGCTTCAGCTCCAACCAAAACCCCTAAAACTCTTCCCAAGAAACCGGTTTACTCGAGTCTGTTTCCTCACACTTTTGTTTCAAATGTTGTGAATACAGTAGCATAGAATTTGATAGTTCTTTTGAATTCTTTATTTTGTGGTGGATGAGAAAAACAGTGAAGAAGGGTCAAATTGTTCGTGTAGAGAAGGAGAAGTACCTCAACAGCATCAATGTAGGGTCGAAATCTTTCTCAGTTTCTCAGTTTCTTCTTTTGAAAATCTGTTTTTGAAACTTGTTTTCTCCGTTTGGTGACAGTACTTATCAGTTGGACATCCTCCTTTCTACAAAGGCCTCGATTACATCTACGAAGATCGTGGCGAGGTATAACCCGAAATTCAATCCCTTATCTCACCAAAAAGGTTATCTAAATCTTGCTAAATTCTTGCAGGTCCTGGACATTCGTGTCTTTGAGACAGGAGAGTATGCACTTGTAAGTCTCCAGACAAATTGTTTAATTCTGCCATAGATAGAGAGAAATTGGTAAGATAATAGATCGTGAATTTTTGGAGAATTTAGGTTGGATGGGTTGGTATCCCTACCGCACCAGCTTGGCTACCAACAGATATGCTCATCAAGGTACTCAAAACTTTCTCAGTAACATCAACCATTAAGTATCATTGTCTTCTTCAGTGTCAAGTCATGATTGTTTTCTGTGTTCTTGGTTTCCTCCTGCAGTCAGAGAAACTTGTTTATGAACGACTTTAGAGTCCAGAAGTTTCCAAAAAAGAATCTTTGGGAGTGAAAATGATACCAAGGGTTGTGTGTTAAGCTGAGATGAATGATAACAATGGCACCATCATGATCATGTCTTCAAGAGTTTGACAAAGAATCAATGGTTATAAAACTGTTGTGGAATGTAAAAAATGTGATCAGATTGAATCGTATAATAAGAATGCAGATTCAGTAGATGCATTCCTTAAACCAATTTACACTACTCTCTCTCATCATCTACTTCAGAAACAACCCCTCATAGTCAATTCTAGAGGATTTGAAGGATCCATAGTAGGTAATTCAATAATGACATGGGACAGTTTCTTTGTATATCAGTTTATTCTGAATATGGTTGCAAGTTAATGACTAAAAAGCTTGCAGAAAGAATCATCATATAGAAAACCAAATGATGAAACAGGTGTTCCTCACAAAATCCTCGTGGTCAATGTACAAAGCCATATACCAAAACTTCATCAGAACAATCTTTTCCTCTGCTTCTCTTCTTTGGATTACATTTTCAGAAAATTTTCTGAGAAGACCAACCAAAGCTGCATATACAGTGAAAAATGGAAAAATTAACCTACATCGACATCTTTTCCACGCGGTTTTGACTTCCTAATTAATCTAGGATACTAGATTACGCTCATTATTAGTTTGGAAAAAAATAATGAGCGTAATCATTCTACAGATATTAATTTGACTTCCTCTATTTTTTTTTTCTTTCGAAACGAGGCCAGGGTTATGATTTCCTTTTTCAAACATATTATTGATTTTTTTCCAAATAAGGAAAAACGAAACCTAGACATATTCATCCATAAAAACCACCTCCTGACTCAACAAAGAATTCAAGAGGGACAATGAAACATGGTGTATCCTCTTCTTCTTTCAAGAAATCTCACAAAACAACAACAAAAATATCTCTAAACTCTCTACCAGAAGAACTTCTTGTAGAGATCTCTTCACGTGTTGCAGCTTCCTCTTTTTCTGATGTTCACAATCTCCAACTAGTCTCAAAAACGTTTCAAAATTATTGCAACGATGGATACGTTTTTCAACGAGTCTCCTTCCATGGAATTCCTCTTTTCCCATGGCATCGTCGCAACCGTGAAAAGTTTTCTAAATTTTTCAAGAGATGTCTAAGAAATGGAAACCCGGAGGCTTTATATCGTAAAGGACTCATCGATTACTTTCATCTAGATAGTGCTAAAGAACAAGGACATGGAGGAGGAATCGAATATCTAGCCAGAGCTGCAGAGAAAGGTAATCAAGAAGCACGATATGTCTATGGAATCATCTTAATCTGTCTTGGAGGTAAAACAAAACAAAAGGGTTTCAAGATATTGTCTTCTTTAATAAAGCCTTTAATGTCAAGTACCGTGAAGGAGGTAGCAACGCTTCGAAAAATTAACCGAGATATCATTTTGTGGCGTGGCGGACCGATGATGAGACAGCTCAAAGGAAGCTACGTTCGAGAGAAATGCAATTGCGATGGTCGAACCGAGATGTTCTTAGCGAAGAGTTGTGTTTCCAACGGTTTTGATGAAGACAGCAACATAATTACTTCTTCTTCTTCTTCTTCGTCTTCTTCATTTTGTGAGATTTGTTTGTGGCACCATGAAGTCCATCTTTTCTTGAAGAATGATTGATTGATTGATGTATTGAATAAAAGTGATTTGGCTTTATACATATATGATTCACAAACCTTAAATGAATTTTTATTGCCGAGATGACAATCTAAACAAAAACTCACAAAATTGTTCATGGTGAAACTGAGAAACTACTCAAGGCAACTAAAAAAGAGAAAAGAAAAAAGCATATCGAGCTTTCATGAAACTCTCCATCTTCTTCCTCTCTTAAGCTCTGTCAAGACCTTTAAACGATGGAGACAAGCGAACTGTGCCACGACCACGTTGCAGGAAACTTACTTCTCCACTACTACTACTACTACTTGTCTGATGATCATACTGGTTCCTGCAAGCTGGGCAACGTCCAACGTCCTCATTGATCTTATTATGGCAGAAGAGACATAGCCGAAACCCACAAGGACATGGTAAGAAACTTAGATCCGTTGCATCCATGTCTTCAGAGCAAATAGGACATTCACTTATCTCATCACCACATTCTTTCTGCTGACCAGACTTGTTTTTCTTTCCCCTGCTTTTGTTTCCGAGTGATGAAGATTTTTCACTGCGCTTGTCTTTATGAGAGAGCTTTTCAGGAGAAGAAGACTCGTTCCTCTGGCTTGTGTTTGGATTCTGATCTGCTTTTTGCTCAACATCTGCTGTCTCGTGTAAAGTCCCTCTGTTGTCTTCGTTCTCAACATCTTCTGGCTCACGTAAAGGAACTCTGTTGTCTTCGTTCTCATCAAAGAAGTTTAACGCATCGCTAAAATCGTCCCAGTTTTCATAAGCATCATCAAAAGCTTCTTCCTCTCCCTCTATGATCTGATTAGAGCAACAGAAGCAGTCGTCCCCGCTCTTACTGCTATGTGAATCTTTGTTCTTGAGGACACTCGTGGGGCTACTAGAAGAAAGATCATCATCGTTATTATCATGATCGCATTTGGTGAACTCGTAGCTTCTTTCTCCATGATCAATGCTCCAAGCTTTACCAGTGATAATTCTGTCGCTGGCTTTTTTTCTATCAGTCAGTTTGTCTCGCAAAGATCTCAGTCTAGAGCCATTTTCCTCTTCGCCTGCATTTGCTCTCTTCCCTACAATTTCACAAACAGGCCATCATCAACATTCACAAAGGTTGAACCAAGAAATTGAAAGAATAGATACTGAGATTACGATTCTACGCGACATACATTGATAAATCCATTGCCTGCGACGAGCATCAATCTTCCACTGCTTCAATTTCCAGAACCAATTAGCCTAAAAACCAAGATTCAATGAATATATATCAAATAACTTGGCAAGCCGTGACGAGTTTCAACAAGAATCTCCCTAAAGATTATCAACAATCACGACGAAAAGATCATCCCTGAACCAATTTTACTCTACTGACTGAGGATTCACAAACAGTCGCGGATCTATTATACGGGATTAGACACACACACGCACACACCATTGCCATAATGACGCAATATCGATTATATACTTTTCTTTGAAATCACGCATATTTACTCTACACAAGAATCAAATAGATCGCATCGAGTTCGAGTAAAATTTAAGAGCTCACCTTCCGTTTCATGGCGAAATCTCTAGAAATCGGAGAGCCATGAGATAGTTCAGAGTCTGTGATCGAATCAGCAACCATGATTATCTTCGAACAAACAACAAAGCACAGCGACGCACTCGCACACACACACAGAGAATAATGTATTATCAGAAATAAAAACCCTAATCCCTTAATCGGAGGAAGAGAGAGAGAGAGAGAGAGAGAGAGAGAGAGAGAGAGAGAAATGGAAATCGGAAACGGCTCTGCTACGCTCTTTCTATTTATCAGTCTCGGAGAACCGAGGCCTCTGTGTATAGCGGTATATATAATATATACACATTCGGTTATTCACATCCATAAAACTACCCCGATTTGATTCTATATTTACGTAGCTATACCCCTTTCCTCGTGTTTATGATGGTAAGGTCATTGTTATTATGGCAAAACGACGTCGAATCAATGGAATGTGAGTATAATCGCTTTTGGTCTATTGTTCAAACTTGGACTGCAAGGCATATACAGAGTTTACTTTCTCCATAACAAAATCAGGAAAAGAAGGGATACATGTGTTGATAATAAAGCAACCTATATATATATTTCTTACTTATAAAATTTAGTTACTTCTTCTTTTTATTTGGTAAATCTTGGCAAACACATGCATTATTTGCTAGGAAGATCTACATTTGATGATTTGAATATTTTTTGTTAAAATAACGTTACCATAACTAGGAAGTTGTCTACTCTTATTTTTAACCGAATTTTTAAGAAGTTTATATAAGTCAATTCAACCACGACATGGAAGGAAATGTTCCCTTTTTAAAGCCGGTAATAATCTTGAAAGTGAAACGGTCATTTATTCATTAATTTTAAAACAGAAGATTGAAGTTCAGAACTCACATCAAATCCCTTATTTATCAGACGATAGTTCATGGTGCCAGTCCAAATATCCATTAATAACTTTGACCAAGTGACAAAAAAACTATTTGATAAAAGACTTCTACGTTAGATTATAGAGAACTCTAGATTATATACGCAAGTAAAACATTAAAAAAATGGTAGAGATACAATGATAGCTTTTTGACCACCCAGGCTTAAGAATCTAGAGTTTCCATATAAACTTTGAGTTGCTCCAAATAAAATGTAACATGAATATATTTATATATATATATTAGACGAATACTTTATACTTTACTAAGCTAAAGCTAGGTTTGTTGATCAACAATGGATCCAAAAACTGCAATTGATAATATTAGAGCTTCGAGGTTACTTGCGAGTCAAGGGAAGATCCTACTGGTTGACTAGTTCTGCTGCAAAACCGTTTTTCTCCGAGAATGGTACAAGCTGCGCCCAGAAAACAAAACATTAAAGACGAAACAGAGAAATTCAGGATCCTGGACATCATATACATAAACCACCCACCAAATTGGACAAGAGTTTACATCCAGAATACAACAATAAAAGGCATTACTAGTGAAATCAGCTTTCAAACCAAACGCTAACACGGCAAAAAGGAAACAAGCAAACCAGATTCTCATAAGTTCTCCAGAAACATATTAAACTTAGTATGAATATAGCGAATTAGATGTACGTTGATATTTACTAACCTGCCGAGCCACCTGTGCTACGCATAGACTATCCCGAGATGATTCACTGGTGAAGCTAGGCTTCAGAGATTCCAAATAACCGTCGTCTTTCTCCCCAGTCTTCTGTTTCCTGCTTCTGCTCTCCTCAATGGAGGACCCTCCTTCAAGATTGCTTAAATCCTCCTTCTTTCTCTTCCTCTTGAATGTGTACTTGATACACCTGTTTTTATTAACTGCCAAAACTGGCATTTCTTCACACAAAGGAGATGCCGAAACCTCCATGTTCGCACAGCTCTCTTTTTCTTCCTTCATTGCCTCTGTTTCGACAACCGCAGACTTTCTCTCAATTTCATGTTCCCTCGGAGATGTTTTCAAATGTATCGGAGTACCACAGTCCTTCTGACAAGGGTTTTCAGACACCACTACCTCTTCTCCATCTCCAACAGAAGATATGGAGTCACTAGCATGAGCACAACCAGACAATTTTAAGGTCTCTACAATATTACAAGACGAGACTTTGTGAAGACATACTCCATCATTCACATCTCCTACTTCTACAGAGGAAGACAGATCTCCATTGGCCATACATCTATCTACTGCGTGGATCATCTGAGTGCATCCTTCAGCTTCCCTGCGTTTTGTCAATATAGACGGAAGAGTGTGGTGACAACGATCCTTGTTATCTCTTGATGAACACCGCTTAATACTATTTATGCGAGTCAAAGATGGGTTTTTTGTCCCATTAGCCAATACGGACCCACTTTGTTCAGCTGGGATGCAAGAAACTATAGCTCCTGATCTCTCGTGACTGCTAGAGACCTCAGGCACTACGGAAACTGCTGCACCACTGTTTTCCCAACAGGAGCCTTCCTCATGATCACTTTTAAGATGTGTCTGACCATTCGTAAGTTTCTTCTTGAGCTCATCACGAAGTTCTCGCAGCTCCATCCTCAGCTCTCCTACGATATCTTCAGCTTCTCCAAGCTGAGCTTCAAGTTCCTCAACCTTTTGTTGCTGCTTTAAGGATATCATCTCTGCCTCCTTGACCTTTATAACCAAAAAGACGTTTTCAAAAGTTAGATTTGAGGAGTATATGCAAAGCCAGCCACAGAAGAAAGATATACAGTTGTACAACAGGGAAAGCCAATCTTCAAGCAAAGCTGATACAGTATCTACGATGAAATAGCTATAACCCCGCATTCAGAAATATTTCACTTTATAATTGCACAATGAATTGAGGGCATGGCCAAAGTGTAAGCCTCACTGACAAGAAATTGTAAAACAAATCTAGTCAATTGAGTGATTAAGAACTTGCTGCTCAATTGGTATAACGAGCTTCAGGTTTCATTAACAATGATCGATGGATGAAGAAGAAAGCTCAATCTGTTCAAAGTGTCAGTGTAATATAGTCTCAGGCTCAAAGTGTCAAAGACATTGGCTTGCATGACGTTCATTGAAAAGAATCAGCAATGTCCGTGTAGTGTAAAAACACAGAAAAAAGCTGGTGCCGAAGCATACCATCTGAATGGAGGAATATCTTCCGGCTACTTGAAATATTAAAAGATTGAACAAACCAAACTCACAGTCACAAAGACAACATTCACTATGCAAAAAACCATGTAAGCAAGGCTCAAAAACTTGATTTCAGAAGCCATCTCACCATACAAAGCAAGAAACAATAAAATGTAATAGCATCAATTCCACAAACTAATCAAGATCCGAAAACCATAATCAGGCAGAAACCAAATAAAACCAACCGCAGCTCAGAGATGAGTGAAGAACAAAAACGAGAACTAGAAGAAAACATCTAGTAGATAGTTATTGTACCTTGGAATCATACATATGTTTAAGCCTAAGCAACATATGGAGTGCTTCATCTCTAACCGTCACAAGTTCTTGCTGATAACTACGCGCCTTCTTCTCAGAAAACATCACACGCGCCGCCGCTTCCTTCGTCGTGTTCAGAATAGTATCGGCGTAGGCTCTCTTCAACGCCGCTAAGGTCTGTTAACCAAACAAAATCAAAACAAACGAACAAAATCATCGCAAACGTAAATCACGAAAAACCCACATCCGGAACACTAATTTAGGACAAAAGTAAACGAAATCGGAAAAAAGAATCTGCCTGATAAGAAGAAACAAGGCCTAGAAGAAACAGGAAGAAATTAACGAGGAATCCAAAACTTTTGTTCACAGGGGGAAGTCCGGAATCGAAAAAAGGAACTCGAGAGCGACGGAGATTGAGGGTTAAAAAGGTAATTGTACCTCTGGGTCGGCCATTAGCGCCGATAATGCGGTTGCGGAGAAGCGATTTTGATTTTCCGACCGAGGTCGCAGACTCGCTCGTCAAGAAGAAAGAAAGGAAGAAAGAAAGGCGAAAAAGGGTGGTTTGTTTTTGTTTTTTCCATTTTTTTTTTTTACTTGAAAGCGTCTGTCTGTTAGGAACAGAAATGGGTATTGAATGACTTATTTGCCCATGACGAGTCCACTTTATTTCTAAAACGCCACACACACGTCACGCCAGCTTCCGCTCCGTAAACTGCAAACGGCGGTGCGGTTTCCCGTTTTTTGCGTCAATCGCTTTCGTACTCGCTTTTGCTTTTCACATTTTCGGCGATATCTAATACTATCATAGAGTAATTTTTTTAATGCTTTACTTACACACACTTCAATTTATTACCTCATTTAGATTTTACGACCTGCAATAGCATTTATTTACTGAGTCATCAACTGAGTACAAATGAATACATACAGTATGTTACTATATATGTTATTTTTTTATATATTAAATATCCGTATGCATATGATGTTAAAACAAAAAAGATGTTAAAAAAAATCCAAATGCATTTCAAATTCTAAACTGAAATCTAGACGAATCCTAAGATATGTAAATAATTGAGTTAACCGCATATGAATATAGACTATAGTGGACAAAGTTCAATTCACAGTCTTGATCTATATGACGATTCTCAACCACTAAACTATTATCTTAGCTAATTCTAATTTACTAAATTTTGACTTTAACTATTTTAACAACAAAAGTAGTGTTTGAAATTGCAGTCATATTTTGTTTTTTAGTTTCAGAATATTGTTCGTCAATGTGATTACAGTTTGACGACCAAGTTTTTTTTTTGCGGTACGTCAATACTGTCTACCGAATTTACATAAATTATCAAGATATGAAATGTATTTGTTTTTGCGATATGAAATTTTAAGATGCAAGAAATGCAATTACCAAATAAAAAGCGATCTCTCTAGTGTACTTGAACATTATACCAGAGCTTTTTTTAAAAAAAATTCAAGAGTATGAGAGTAACAATATTTATCTTATGATATTTAGGCGCCAAATTAGTCAGACCGAATTTCGAGTGAACCAATTCAAACCGGCAGGTATTTTGTGTAAACCGAGTAATGACCGGTTGGTTCCTGGCGACTGTTATCCACAATAAGAATCCACGTGTCTTCTCCAAGCTCTCCTCTTCTTCCATTTTTCCGCCATTTCACGGAGAGCACTTTTGGGTGAGAAAATCATCTTCGAAAACATTTCTTCATCTAATTCGTTTGTCTCCTGTCCAGAGTTGGTAGTGACTAGTGAGTGAGGCCTTAATCTTCAATCTCTGGAGTCATTTCAGATTGGATTTCGACTTGCTGAGTGTGATTTTCCCGAGAAAATCTCGTTTCGCTTTGCTGTGATTGAGAAATTACCCGGAGGATTTCTGGACCCTTTATGTGAATTCTAGCTGCCAAAATGAACCTCGCAATTCCGAATCCCAACTCACATCAGCTCTCGTTCCTCATCCAGAACACCAGTTTCGTCGGAAACCGGAGATTCGCCGACGGCAACCGTCTCCGTTTCCTCTCCGGAGGGAAAAGACCTTGCTCTCTCGCCGGAAAAATTAAGGCGAAGACGAAGGATCTCGTTCTGGGAAACCCGTCCGTATCGGTGGAGAAAGGGAAGTACAGCTACGACGTCGAATCGCTGATTAACAAGCTGAGCAGCCTTCCACCTCGCGGCAGCATCGCCAGGTGTCTAGACATATTCAAGAACAAGCTTTCTCTGAACGATTTCGCGCTCGTGTTCAAAGAGTTCGCTGGTCGCGGCGATTGGCAGAGGTCGCTTCGGCTCTTCAAGTATATGCAACGGCAGATATGGTGCAAACCAAACGAGCACATCTACACGATTATGATCTCTTTGCTAGGCAGGGAAGGTCTACTTGACAAATGCCTTGAGATATTCGATGAAATGCCCAGTCAAGGCGTTGCACGAAGCGTCTTCTCTTACACGGCTCTGATCAATGCCTACGGTCGAAATGGACGGTACGAGACCTCCCTTGAGCTTCTTGATAGGATGAAGAACGAGAAGATATCACCTAGTATCTTGACTTATAATACAGTGATTAATGCGTGTGCTAGAGGTGGCTTAGATTGGGAGGGTTTATTGGGTTTGTTTGCAGAGATGAGACATGAAGGGATACAACCCGATATCGTGACCTATAACACATTGCTTAGTGCTTGTGCTATTAGAGGTTTAGGTGATGAGGCTGAAATGGTTTTTAGGACCATGAATGATGGTGGGATAGTTCCGGATTTAACCACATATAGTCATCTCGTTGAGACATTTGGGAAGTTAAGCCGGCTAGTAAAAGTTTCTGATCTCCTAAGTGAGATGGCGTCTGGGGGCAGCTTGCCGGATATTACTTCTTATAATGTGTTGTTAGAGGCATACGCAAAATCCGGTTCTATTAAGGAGGCAATGGGGGTCTTCCATCAGATGCAGGCTGCAGGGTGTACGCCGAACGCAAATACATATAGTGTTTTGCTAAATCTGTTTGGACAGAGTGGGAGGTACGATGATGTTCGGCAGCTTTTTCTTGAGATGAAATCTAGCAATACAGATCCTGATGCTGCTACATACAACATTCTGATAGAGGTTTTTGGGGAAGGTGGGTATTTTAAGGAGGTTGTAACTTTGTTCCATGATATGGTGGAGGAGAATATTGAACCTGACATGGAGACATATGAGGGTATAATATTTGCTTGTGGGAAGGGAGGACTCCACGAAGATGCTAGGAAGGTTTTACAATATATGACAGCTAAGGATGTTGTGCCAAGTTCCAAGGCTTACACTGGGGTTATTGAAGCATTTGGGCAGGCTGCTTTATATGAAGAAGCACTTGTTGCGTTTAACACTATGCATGAAGTGGGAAGCAATCCAAGTATTGAAACATACCACTCACTGTTGTATTCTTTTGCAAGGGGAGGACTGTTCAAGGAGTCTGAAGTGATTTTGTCTAGGCTGGTGGATTCTGGTATTCCCAGGAACAGAGATACGTTCAATGCACAGATAGAAGCGTACAGGCAAGGAGGAAAATTCGAAGAGGCTGTGAAGACATATGTAGATATGGAGAAGTCAAGATGTGATCCTGATGAAAGGACGCTTGAGGCTGTTTTAAGTGTGTATTCTTGTGCACGACTTGTTGATGAGTGCAGGGAGCAGTTTGAGGAGATGAAAGCTTCTGATATACTCCCCAGTATCATGTGCTACTGTATGATGCTGTCTGTTTATGGGAAAACGGAGAGGTTAGTGCCTTCGCAAGTATTACGCTCTTTCTTATGTTGTCTTTTGCGTAAATACCTTACTAAGTATTAAGCATAACAGTCACGCGAATGGATGAAATGAATTGCAAATAAATCAAGTGTGATAGTCTAGTAGTTTCCTCTTGTTGGTCGAGGGCTCAGATCAATTCCTACTGGATGCATTCACTTGGCAATTTCAAAATTTACATGGTGGTTGCAAGCTCATGACTCAGGCATTTGACTATTCCATCTTCATAGCAGTATTCTCTTTCAGTTGCCTTGTGTTCATGCATGGGCAGGCATGGAAGAGATATGCTAGTGTAATGTAGCACCCTTGTTAATTTTTTGCAACTAACTTGAGTTTTCTGGATAAGTAGTCTTGAATCCATTGTTTTAAAAAATAATTATTCATTATCTTATTATTACACTTCTGATTTTTGTTTTCAGGTGGGGCGATGTCAATGAGTTACTGGAGGAGATGCTTTCAAATAGAGTATCAAATATTCATCAAGTTATCGGCCAAATGATCAAAGGAGATTATGATGATGACTCAAATTGGCAGATAGTAGAATATGTCTTAGACAAACTCAATTCAGAAGGATGTGGTTTGGGAATAAGGTTTTACAATGCACTCCTGGATGCCTTGTGGTGGCTGGGCCAGAAAGAGCGAGCTGCAAGGGTACTCAATGAGGCAACAAAACGTGGACTTTTCCCTGAGTTATTCCGGAAAAACAAACTTGTGCGGTCTGTTGACGTGCATAGGTAGCTTTAAGAGCCCTAAGCTGACTTCATTTCAAGTGTATGAAATGGTTGAGTACCAGTCATTCTAATTTTTTTTTTTCTATGTTCTGCAGAATGTCAGAAGGTGGCATGTACACAGCACTATCGGTTTGGCTAAATGATATAAATGATATGCTTTTGAAAGGAGAGGATCTTCCTCAACTAGCTGTTGTTGTTTCAGTGTAAGTACTTTGATGCTGGCTATGTAATGGCAGAGGATGCTTCCGAGCTGTGCTTTTATATTGTATTTTGCCTTTTGGTAACTCTTTTTCTTTCTTAAATTTTCAGACGGGGACAGTTGGAGAAAAGCTCTGCAGCAAGAGAATCTCCCATCGCGAAAGCTGCTTTCTCCTTCTTGCAGGATCATGTCTCGTCATCATTTTCATTCACGGGATGGAATGGAGGTCGCATTATGTGCCAGCGATCTCAGCTCAAGCAGTTACTGGCTACGAAAGAACCAACTTCAGAAGAGTCCCAGAATAAATACCTAGTCGCTTTATCAAACTCGCCAATTTTTGCTGCTGGAACAAGAACTTCAACAAGCAGTGACACTAACCACAGCGGTGGTAACCCATCTCAAAGAAGAACCAAGATGAAAAAAGAACTAGCAGGAAGCCCAGCTTAACCGGTATCCTCAATTTCTGTTGCTAATTTCCAGCAATCAAAGGCTTTTTCCGTCTTCCTCCATCTTAGACTGGTTGGTGAAAACTGTGCTCTTATGGTCTTTAACACTCCATGTCCATGATAATATGTTGTGGTGCCAAGCAGTAGTGTCAGCGTCTGATAGACATGAGAGGCTTATAGAGGGAGATGAATGGTCATCTTAGTTTATATGCAGAAGCAATGCTACAAAATGTCGAGTAAGAAGTCAACTAAGTCTTTTGATGGGAATTGTTAGACAGACCCCATGATTTTGCAGCCATAGATTTAATGTTTTTTTTTTTTCATTCATCTGTCTAGTTACTATGAAGCTAAATGCTGGTGTAATATCAAAGCTCTTGTTAGTTGTTACAAATACAGGATCTATCAGTCAAGATTCCCTACTTGATCATCTAGTTTGCTTGTGATCTTATGGTCTGTCACCATCTCGAAATCTAACTTATTAAGCAGCAGTGACCCTGGTCTGAATTTTAACTTGGAACACAACTTGTTATTGTGCAAGATTCTTCTTCTGTCTGATTCATCTTCTCTCTTTCTCAGATTTGTGTTTGTTTTCTGAATTTGGAAAGTCACAACAAGCTTCTCATCCTAATTGGGGGAAAAAAAAAGAAGAAAAAAAAAGGAGAAAGAAAAGCTCTTCCTCTAGTGCTTCACACACTACTCTTTAGGTTCCCACTTTGTGTGCATTAAAGTAATGGTGGTTGCTTTGCTTCCTAACCGATACTAGTGCCTTATGTTTCATTGCTGTCTTCCAAGACTATTTACCAAAATTATGTGTATACTTTTTAGATTTTTTTCCCTATAAATCTCTAACATGAATAAATAGTAGTAATTGTAATAGATAGATGTGATCATTTTGCTTATAGTCAAATCACATCCTACTAATATTTAAGTAAAGTATTACCTCTCTAATTACTGTTAGTCTGTTACAGACTTACAGTTTTCATCAAGTTATGAAAATTCTAATTTTGTAAGTTCTTGTGTTGAAACGAAAAGTTTAATCAAAAGGCTTTTCCTGTCTCCAAGGTCTATTCAAAATCTAGTCATAGATCGAGAAGATATAGTTCTTTATAAAATAAAGTACAAGGATGGAGCTGTAACTAAATATTATAAGAGTAGAGAGTACAGAATCATTTCAGAAGCACATCTTTTTCTAAGATCAAGAGCTGTAACTAATTTCTCTAAGATTGAGTTGACCAGATTCGCCTTGTACACTATTTATAACCCTACATTTTGATTCTATCATAAATAAATAGAAGGATAACGTAAAAAGAAAAAAGAAAAAAAGAGGGTCGATTTAATCTCTGTTCTATAATTCTAGTCTATATACAATTAGGTCTTTTCTCTTTCAATTTTCTTTATAACTTTTGAGTTCACAAAATTATTATCTTTTCTTATCCATACAGTTTTCATTTGATTATCAGAGGTCAGACAAGAGCTCATATTGTATCAGGATTTGCCAAGTTAGGATCGGTGAATTCATCTTTACAACACAGAAACATTATGAGTTCTTCATGTTCTATAGAATATTTAGGCTCAAGGTTGGCATAAAGTCATTGAAAAGATAATATCAAAATGACAAAGGTGATTAATAAAAGGAAGGAAATTACAGAGATAAGAAATATATTATGATGAGGAATCAAAATAGTGACAATGCTCTGTGGAAGTATCAAACCGCAAATATCTCGAAGAAAGCTTATGAATCAAATTTGTTGTATTCTTCTTTCAATATTCTGTCAAGATGATGGCTAAATAAACTCCTTATACAGTTGAATAAAACTAGATGTAAAACAAAACAAAAAACCTAACTTTTTTATATACCATAAAATATCTTGTAAATGAAACCAACAAAAATGATTATAGCTGGAGACATAATATCTAGTCAGCCAGAGAAATAAAAAAGTCTATCCAAATGAAAAACTATGTAGAGAGACAGGCAGGTAAGACAGAAGACAATGACAGACGAATAAAAATAAGACACGTGTCAGATGATACCATCACCAGCAGCTACAACATGTAATTGTTTAAGAGAAAAACACGTGGCTTTTGGCTTATAAAATCATCAACAACTCAAAGCACAGATCTACTCACACCACTCCATTGCCATTGCTCTGTACTTTTTGATCTCCTTCCGTTGAGTGAAAGGGGAAAAAAAAAACCAGCGCAGGCAAATCTTATGGCCGAAGGAAGTAATAGTTCGTCGGATTCCACCGTCTCTTGCGGCGGCGGCGGTATAAGAAGAGAGATTATGCTGTTCGGTGTCAGGGTTGTGCTTGATCCGATGAGAAAGAGCGTGAGCTTGAACAATTTGTCCGAGTATGAGCAGACGGAGGAGATTCCTAAGATCTGCGGCGAGGATGGAGATGTACAAGATAAGAACAAAACCTCCTCCGGTTACGCCTCGGCGGATGACGCTGTTCCGATTTCTTCTTCCGGCGGAAATCGCGAGAGGAAACGAGGTACTTTCCTGGGTTTTGATCAAAAAATCTGTTTCTGGTCTTCCGTATTCGTTTGATTTGTTTCCTTCCTCTTTTTTCTGGATCACTTTTGACCTTTCCAATTTGCTTTATTTTTTTTTTGGTTTCTGGCTAAGTATATGATTAGAGATATGTTTATGCTTGTTGAGGTTTCTGAAGATATGCTTTTTAAAAAAAAAAATGTTGAATTTGGATTTTGAAAGATGGCTAAAGTTATATATGTCTTGTTTATATTCAGGAGTTCCATGGACTGAAGATGAGCACAAGCTATTCTTGTTTGGGCTGCAGAAAGTAGGAAAAGGAGATTGGAAAGGAATATCCAAAAACTTTGTGAAAAGCAGAACGTCCACGCAAGTAGCTAGCCACGCTCAGAAATACTTCATCCGGCGAAGCAATCTCAACCGTCGCCGACGAAGATCTAGCCTTTTTGACATCACCACTGATACGGTAAAATCTCTAATCCTCTTGTCACTCTACTAATCAAGCCAAAAATGATTCACCCTATAAGTGGTTTTTGGTTTAGTTTTTAGCTTAGTTGCTCAGGATAAGAATCTATGGTGATTGTTGGTTAGTGAAACCTTAAGTATAACACACAGATCTTGCTTGGTTTTATTATCAGGTCATGTCCACGGAAGAAGATCAGGTGCTTATGCAGGAGAACACATCACCACAATCACCTTCTCTTGTACCGGAAATCAACAACTTCTCTATGTATCCGGTTATGCAAGTCTTTCCTGAGTTCTCTGTACCAACATCTGGTGGTGATTCATCAGGGAATCAATCACATGGACTGATTCCTTCCTCTAATTTCATCAACTTGGTTCCATTAACATTTCAAGCAAGTCCTGCACCGCTCTCTCTTAGCCTCTCGCTAGCCTCGTCTAATCTTTACGAGCCTTCTTCTTCAAGACAGTCAGCGTTCAACACGATTGGAGTCGCTTAGAACAAAATCTCAAAGGTGCATCTGCAACACAAACACACCCTGTTTGTTTCTTTGTTGTACAGATAGGTCTTGACTTTTTTTTACATTTATCGAAAAAATCTGTGGTAAAGAAGAAGAATAAACAGAGGAGTTTGTAGAATAGGACTACGTGGTTTTTTTTTTTATGGTTCATGATCATCTTCTTCTCTTTTTTTTCCTTCCATGTTTGGAAGTTGTTGTAATACTATCTGGTCATTCGCGTGGATTTATTAAAGCTTATAAATTATATCAAGTATTAACGTTATGTTTCATTCATGATCTCAATCAAAAACAGAGTCGTCCTTGCTTCTCATGTGGCCATCTCAATCAGTGTTTGGTGATTTATGGGGTTTCAGGGTCTTAATAATAATATCTGATTTTCCAAGGATAAGATATTGTAGGGTTTGTAGAATAATGTCATTATCTTCAATGATTCCAATAATGTTTCATTTCATTGGTCACGTCCATGATAGTGGAGCTTTTTCCTTTCCTATCAAAATCCAGATTCTTTTATATATATATATATATATATATATATGTAGTGCGGGATGATTAGGTACAATACCTGTTTCGTAAGCAATAATCTTCCAATCACAGAACATGATCTCCATTCATTTATAAAACAATATCATGTATGATGTACATGTCATATGTGTGTGTTGGCATGTCCTCTGTTTCGGTCATGTATGGTTTATATTCAGTTTTAGCGTCAACGACAAAGTTCTCCTCACGTCTAAGCGGGAAAAATCTACACAATTCCAAGTTGTGTTTTTTTTTTCTCTCTCTCTCTTGTATTGACATTATCTCTAAATTTGTCAATATCAAATCTGCGATTAGCCTTTGTTTTTGGGCACTTTCTCTCAAATTCCAGACTAATCTAGTCTGTTTTAGACTCTCCACGCCCAGAAATAGAAACACAAAATCACAAAACAGTGAGAAAAATCTCATGATCTCTGTTTTTTTGTTGATCTTTTGACCAATTTGATCTCACATGATTATTCAATTGCTGTGCTTCTTCTTGTTCTTGTTTCTGCTTTTACAAGCCACCATGTCTAAACGTTCTTTCAAGAATTTTGTGGAACAAGAACTCGGATCTTTCCCTCAGTTCCTCATCTACACCGTTCTTGAATGGGTTCTCCTCACCGTCCTCTTCATCGACGGTGTTCTCGCCTTTTTATCAAACCAATTCGCCAGATTCTTCGATCTCAAAACTCCTTGTCTCCTCTGCACCAGAATAGACCACGTTCTCGTCCCTAGAGATCCTAAATTCTATTACAACGACTCAATCTGTGACTCTCACAAGAAGAAAGTCTCTTCCCTTGCTTATTGCCATGTCCACAAGAAACTCTCTGAGATAAAACATATGTGTGAAGGATGTCTCCTCTCTTTCGCCACCGAGAAAGAATCTGATTGTGATACCTATAAGTCTCTCATTGGGATCTTACACAAAGATCTTGAGCTTCTCATTGACGATGAACGAGAGCTTCCCTTGGCGTTCAAGAAAGACGACAATTTTGTTCAGACAACAACAAATCTGGTGGATTACAAGACTAACAACAACAACAACACTAAAAAAGATAGCTTAAAGCAACATTGTTCGTGTTGCGGAGAATTATTGAAGATGAAATCTGAGAAGTTGCCGAAGACCAACAACTCTTTCCTTGCTCCTGCTCCATCTCCTAGGGTTCCTTACAACAAACTGTCTGAAAGCGAATCTGAGTTCAGGGATTTGGATGTGGACAAAACACCGAGTTTTGCACGAGGAGGCAACAAGTTCTTTGGGATTCCTCTGTCTGACACGGCGCAAAACAGTCCACGATGGTCCGTTCGATCTCTCAAGAAATCATCTTTGGATAAGACAGAGAATGCGTCCTCTTTGGATAAAACAGAGAATGCTTCGGACATGGCAGATCCAAACGGTGAATCCATCCTTCATCAGCTCAAGAAAGAGGTTCGCTTGGACAAGAAGTCACTGATCGATTTGTATATGGAGCTAGATGAAGAGAGAAGTGCCTCAGCTGTTGCAGCCAACAACGCAATGGCTATGATCACAAGACTTCAAGCTGAGAAAGCGGCTGTTCAAATGGAGGCTTTGCAGTACCAAAGAATGATGGATGAACAAGCAGAGTATGACCAAGAAGCTTTGCAGTCTATGAGCAGTGAATTGGCAAAGAGGGAAGAGGAAATGAAGGAGCTTGAAGCTGAAATTGAGGCTTACAGAGAGAAATATGGATGTTTGACTGATGATGAAGAGTTTCTTGAAGAAAACGGCAATGCTAGTGCAAATGATGATTGCCAAGAAACCAAACCAGTCTCTGATATTGCTGTTTGTTCTTCATCTCATGAGGAGAATGAAGACAACGTCAATCGAAATGGGTCTTGTAAATCCCAAGAATCGGACTTTTTAGTAAATAAGAAAAGTTCAGAGGAGTCTGCCGTGGCAAATGATGTCTCTGCAGAGGAAGTAAAAGGTATGAATTTTACTCGAGGTTTGATCAATCTGTTCTGTGTTCTTTAATCTGACTAAAAACATTATTCATCTTGTGATGAAATTGAGCAGGGATTGAAAGCAAAGAAGGGATAGTAAAAGAGCTTTTAGCGATCACAGAGAGGCTAAGTGCTCTTCAATCGAATGGTGAATTGTTGAAACATATTGCAGATGTTTTAGATGTTAGTGAAGGAGAAGCAATTCTACTGCAGATATCTCAGAATTTGCACATGCTTCGAAGTTTTGTTGCTATGCCTTCAGAATCCATGAACTTGTAAAACATTGTTTCTTAGAGAACAAAACAAGCATCCAACGCCTTGTCTCAACTCTCGACTTCATAACATTTCTTTTATTCTTTACCCCTAATTAACAAGTTTCAGATTTGCTCCATGCATCATTTGCAGTGAGATTGAGACTTTGATTGATTCAAACCAGATTTGTATGTTTGTACTACATATGATTGTTTTCTGAAAACGTTTTTACCTTTAAAGGCAATAGAGCATTTTTTTTTGTCAAGTCATTTTTAAGTCAATATTTTGCCAAGTGCTAATACTAAACGCAAACCAAAGCTCTTTCTTGTATACAATATTTCATAAATTGTGAACACAAAATGTTAAACAAAATGAAAAGGAAAAAAAATACTCTATCTGTTCATAATTATTTGATGTTTAAGGTTTTTGCACACAAATTAAAGATTCATTTAATTTTTATTTTTTTTACATTAAAAACATTATTAATAATTCATTTCAATATCATTTAGCCAATAAAAAAACAATCTGAGAATATAAAAGGTCAAAAACAATAAAAATGTATTTAATTTTGTATTAAAAAGTGAAAACATCAAATAATTCTGAAAAAAAAACCTTTTTAAACATCAAATAATTCTAAACAGAATGAGTATATTGTTTCGGGTTACAGATTGTAAATACAATTTAATTTTTAAAATCTAAATATGTATTTTCTGTAATATGTAAAACGAAGTAATAAACACTTAAAACGTAAAGATACAGCGTATATAAAAACAATCAACGTCTCAATGTGTTAGGGTCTATTTTCTGCCTAACAAATATCAGCCAAAACCTAGCCCTACGTACCCACTAGGTCTCAGGGAGTTGGGGTTTATCTTGAACCTAACTGATTTCAGCCCTAGCAATAAGCTTTGCCTTTAAACTGAAACTAGCACTAAATTACACAAATATGAACACAACATTCACAAAGATTCAATCTTTCACGTGTTTCCCTTAAACTCATCTTTTTCTTATCCAATCTGGTTGTAGGGTCGATCCAAAAAATACCAATTTTCTAACGCTATATAATCTGACAAGAAGCGTGCATGGTGATATATCATCATTATCAACATCATCACTATTAGAACTCCCTAGCAATGGCTAATATCCCAAAAATCTCTTTCTCGAGAATTTTATTCCTCCTTACACTCTGCATCACTCTCTTCCCGAACTCAGCTCTCTCAGCCTTAAACCTTAACCCCTTACAAGACTTCTGCGTAGCTGATCTCTCGCGAGCTTCCCCAACCAACAATGGCTTCCCTTGCAAATCACAAGTCTCCTCTGAAGACTTCTTCTACTCCGGATTGAACAAGCCATTAAACACCTCGAACCCAAAAGGTGTAGCCGCTAATTCAGCAAATTTCATGACGTTTCCAGGACTATACACGATGGGAATATCCATGTACAATGTTGCACTCGGTGTTGGAGGAGCTAATCCGCCTCACTCGCACCCTGGTGCGACCGAGGCAGGGTTCGTGCTCGAAGGCTCGTGTTTGATTGGGTTCTTGACGACTAACTACACGTTGTTCTCCAAGGTTGTTAGACCCGGTGATATGTTTGTGGTTCCTCCAGGACTCATTCACTACGAAATGAACGTTGGGAAAACGCAAACGCGTCTTTTGACAGTGGTTACTAATGACTTTCCTAGCGAGGTCGTTCTGCCGCACACTCTGTTCCTTGCGAAACCCCCGATTCAAAACGCGGTATTGATGAAGGCGTTCAAGACGGATGGTAAAACAATCAACATGCTCAAGTCCAAGTTCACTAATTAATATGTGTGTTTTCTATATTTCCTCTGAAAATGTAATCTTTTAATTTTCGTATTAGTTTGCTTAAATGAATAAGTGTAATCGGTCTCTTGTTTTTTCTTTTTTACAAAACATTCGATAACAATCTCAAAATATATTGGAGGGTCAATCTTTTATCACTACTACTTTTAGTTTTATATCTTCTCACAAACAACCATTTAGTACAAAATATGAAATGTATTGATTTATGAAGTTAATATAACGGAAATAAAAGAAAACGATAGTTTTCTCCGCAAGGTTTTAAAACATAATAACCAGTGGTTAATAGATTCATACAGCTAAGAACATTGTCTTCACAAACACGTCATCTTGATACTTGGGCTTATTTGAGGACAAAAATCCAAGTATCATCTGTGTTTTGTTTTACAATAATAGTACATGGTTTTGCATGTGACCTACGGTCACTTGAAAAATGATCTTTGATTGTGATCGATCGTTGAAAGATCACTCTCTCACAATACTAATGTCCTCATCCCCTGCTTCTACTATCTCCTTGGGGTAAATCTGCAGGTTAACAACATGAGTCTATTAAAAAACTTCTTAAGATTCAACTCAACGAAAAGATATCAAACATAAAAAAGGTATTAAACCTGGTGGCCTTTGTCAGGGCTAAGACTGGCCGGACGGACTCTGAGCTCGCCTCTGCTCGTGGTTAACTCATCTAAAATCTCAGCATCGCACTCTAGGACCTCTCTCATCGAGCCAGTCGACTTCAAAACAAAGGTTAACTCAGGCATCAATTCACAATATTCAAGTCTTTTCACAAGCTCCTGAGACTAGTATAATGTAAATATTATTATATAGAAAATTGAGTCGACTCACCCGGAAAGAGAGCTCGAGGGGGTTTCTAGGAGTTCCAGGGATCTCCTCGTACTCAGAGGCATCGAGTTCTCGGAGATGGGCTGGTTTAAAGAGCTTCGGGAGAAGGTATTGCCTGATGGCTATTAAGAGGAAGAAAGGGACCGGAAACATGATCCCGGCCACCGGAATCCACGTCACTCCGTAGCACAGCCCAAAGTAGAATATCTGCAACAGTGTGAACGCAGCTATTGACTTGAAAGGAACTTTCTCCACGAAGGACGCGTGCGCTCCTTCCAAGAGCCTGCAGGTGATATGATCAGTTCTTGCAAAGAAATCTGAGAAAAGATGAAACAAAACAGAGCATTTTCAAGAGCACATACTTGAATCTCCGGCTTGGTGGGACGAAGAGAAGCACCGTGCGTTCGAAGAATTGATTTCCCGGGAGACTATCGATGGCCATGTAAGCGAAATAGCCCCATAGGAGAGAAGTCGGTATGAGCTTAATGGCTGGTATAGCCAAAACTGTACCTGCCACTAGCAGTGACTGCAACAGGTTGCTCACTCTCTGCTCGTTGACTCGAACAGGTAAGAAAGCCTCAAGGTGCTTCTCTGGATCGAAACCGCTCTCCTCGAAGCTATCTCCATCGTCGTCACTTTTCTTCATCACTGCGTCTTTCAAGTCTTGAAGCTCCAGTATATGTGTTGCGTTTGTCTGAGGCTATAGATTAAATAAAAGATGTTACAATTTTTTTGTTGGTTCTTTTTACCAAGGGGACATTGAATTATGAGTTGAGTAATACATACAAGTGGGCTTTTGTCCATTTCTATGAAGACTTCTTGCATATTCTCGTACACTTGGGAGGAAGTTGCTCTCCTTTTAATGCTTTCTTTGGCCGTCATCGCCATCTTCCTCCGGATCAACTGAACATAGAAAAACCACCCAAAATAAACCATCAAGACCAGCTTGATCTGAAACATCTGAGTGTTGAGATTTAACGAGAAAGAAACCTGTCGTTTGAGAACAGCGAGGCTTTTGGTATGCATAGGTGACTGTGGAAGAACTCCGTTGGAGGGAGGCAGACCAAGCAATCCGCAGACCAACACCTAAAGAAGAAGAAAAACAAATGTCAAATGTTGTAAAGGTTTAGCTTGCGCAAGATAACATTGAAATGGAGGTTTGAATGATTACCATGAAACCCAACAAGAGGATGTCGTAGTGATACGAAGAAGGGTTCTTGAGGTTGAACTCCTTCTGCTGCGCGAGCTGCGAGACAACGCTGTGGTCAAAGAAGTAGAGCCCTGCGATCATCACCGCCGGTATAAACCCTGCAAATATGTAGGCCGGAGGGACCTTCCCCATGTCCTGTAAAGAACAAAGACGGGTCTTAAAACAGGTTCATATCTTGATGAAACAAGATTTTCTTTTAAAAAACTTGTAGTGGTTGCGACCTTGATGACAGTCCAGTGTCCTAAAGAAGCAGAGTCCCATGGAAGAGGACTAGAGAGTCTTCTCGGGACACCAGAGGGAAGTTTTGATGGCGTACTGAAAGACAATGCTGTCCAAACCACAACCATCAGAGGAACTCCGTAGTCTGCGATGAAGCTTCTGCACCATCCTTGTTTAAACAAAAAAGGAAAAAAAAAAAGATTCAAGATATACACATGAGAAATGGTCAAGAAAGCATGAAAAGATAAAGGCCTTGTCTTGGCTTACCTGTTCCATATCGCCAAGACCTAGCTTTTCTGCTCTTCAGAGAGGTGTAGAGAAGGCCAAAGGTAAAAATGAGGCCGAGAAGTCCGTTTGTGTAGAGCCACTCAAACTGATACTTTTCTAGTTTTGAGTCCTCATGTTCTGGCACCTTAAATTCGCTCACCATTCCCTTTCAATATTTCATTTCAAACATCCCATATGTTTAATTAATTTCGATTGATATTATATATATATATATATACTCAATTTTTTTAAGCTATATAAGATTTGATAATATATAAAATCATCATTATTAAGAGGTGGTTGAACTACCTTAATGGTTTGTTGGATGAATAGAACGGAGATCAACATACCAAACAGCTCACCAGCGATCCTCGTGAACCGGTTTATGATATTAGCCACGTTAAATATCGCCATTAGGAACAGTAACAAAGCCGTCCACACACACACCCTTCAATTTATAACACCCAGCAGAACCATAACTATACATAAACCCAAAAAAAAAAGAAAAACAACATACAAGAAAAGAGTTGTGTTAGTAAAATTACCAAGCAGCCCAAGCTAAGAAGAGTTCTTTGCCCAGTTCTGGTCTGCCTTTGGCGAAGTGGTACACGTAAGCGTACATTAAGACAGTTGGTTCTGCAACTCCAAGAATCAGCAATGGCTGTCCACCCAGTATCGAGTGTATCACCCCACATAACGCTGTTGATGCTAACGTCTCCACTGGGCTCAACGCTCCATCTATAAAATATACATACATATTATGAAAACGAATCTTCTCTTGAATTCAGAGATTTTTTTGGGGGTAAAACTGAAATCAGAGATATTTCAATTCACGTGCGCAACTTGAAAACTTTTGTTCGATGTGAACACAAACCCGTAATAAATAAATAAATAAATATCGAAGCCACTTGAAAACTTTTGTTTCACGTGAACACAGACCGTGAAGAAGAAGAAAAAAAAAAAAGATAGTCAAGTGTCTTTTTTTTGAGAGGAAGGGTTAAGATAGACCTGTGTCGCGGCTGAGTTGCTCGCCAAAGGCGATAACCGGAAGCGCAGAGGCGAAAAATATATACGTCGTTGGTGCTAAAATCCTGCAAAAACGTCCCCCAAATAATAATAATTAGTTCATCACAGTTTTATTACTCTTTCGTCTCAATAAGAATCTAGTTTTTTTTTTTTATTGTTTTTGAACAAGGTAAGAATCTAGTTTGGATCAATGAGCAGGTTTATGAGTACCCGATACCAGTTGACCAATAAAAAAAAGGAGTACCCGAAACCAGAACGGAGACCAGCGACCCAGTCATGCTTGTAACACAAGGCTCTTCCTCTGAGATCTGATACGATACCTTGAAATGGCCTCCTCTTCGAGCCTCTCATTCTCTCTTCCTCCATCTCCCAAAATCACACTCGGAGACTCCCACAACTCGTTCAGTATTTCGCCTTTAGTCCGGCTTTTTTTTCTTCCTAAAGGTCTTTTCGTTATCTAACCACAAAAAAAGGAAGCTATGTATATATCTTAGTATTACTCTCTCTTTCTCTCTATTTATAGTAAAATGATTTTCTATCATTTTCATACAAATTTAAAATATTTAATACCCCTTACTTGTACATGCATTCTTCCCTCTGGCTAAATACTTTTCCCATGAATAAATAAATTTCATAACAATAGTATTTCAATTCATTTTTAAAAATTACTGTATTGATGAATATTTCTTGAACTTCACAATTAATTTATTAACATCAGTTAATTAAAAAAGCATAAAAAACCTAATAAATCAATAATCTTTATGAAACAAGAATACATAAAAAAACTAACAAACAATTTTTATAAATCATATTTCTTTTATTTTTTCTAAAATTATAAATCATATTTCATTGACTCAAAATCTTGCATTTAACTGGGTAATATAATATACCATAATTAGTACTGATATTATCTTTCTCTAATTTTTGTGATGATGACTTTTATTTAGAAAATGATAGCGTTTCTTCCACCAGCTGTGAAAGAAGACCTTCACATGTTGTCAAAAAAAAAAAGAAAAAAAGAAAAAATAAAGAAGAACTTCAGCTGTAAAAGAAGACCTTCACATGTTGTCAAAAAAAGAAAAAAATAAATAAATAAGACTTCACAGCATCTTTTTTTTGTTTTTTTGTAATTTTGTAATTTAGTAACAATGTCAAGTTGACTGAAATAAAAAAGAAGTAGCAATATCAGTTTTGTTTTTCCTTTTTTGTGGAGGATATGTGCCCATCTCACAGAGAAGAAAGACCATAACGAACAAAAAGAAAGCAAAAAGTAATAAGCTTTTCTATTTATGACTCAAATCTAGTCTGAAAAATCTAAAACGCATATGTAGAAACTTAGAGCATGATTATCAGAGAAACTTTGTGAGTTTCTACTTGAATAGTTTATTATTAAAATTGGTAGTAAAAACTCAATTAGAAACTTTAGTTTTTTGTATGTGCATTGGAGAAATTTAGATGATTTTCCTAATTTTTTTTTTAAAGTGCAAAAAAAACTATTATTTAAAAAGAAACTAGTAATATTACATTTTTAAAATGTAAAAACAATACAAACTTAATACAATATTTATAAAACATAAAACAACACAAATTTAACAATAACACTCAATTTTAGTATTATCCAAATTTTTGCCATATGTTCAACCAAATTCTTTTTCAATTGGGCATGAATATGATTATCCCGAATTCTATTTCGAACATCGAACATATTAGCAATATTTGTAGGCATGTTTGTAGAATAATCTTGATCCACTTGTGCATTTCCGTTTTCATCTCCTTGTTGAAATTCAGAGACATTTCGTAGCGTGAATCCATCCCGTTCATCCTCTACGATCAGGTTGTGAAGAATGATGCATGCTCTCATAATCTTCCCAATTTTGGCTTTATCCCAACAAAGAGCAGGATTTTTAATAATGGCAAATCGAGCTTGCAGTACTCCAAAAGCACGCTCCACATCTTTCCGAACGCTTTCTTGATTGGTAGCAAATAATTTTGCTTTTTGACCCTGGGGAATTTTTATGGATTGTATAAATGTAGCCCAGTTTGGATAAATTCCATCTGTGAGATAATAAGCCATATGGTACTCCCTTCCGTTGACAGAAAAAGTTACTTGCGGAGCTTGACCGTTGATGATATCATCAAAAACCGGTGAACGTTCAAGAACATTTAAATCGTTTAGAGTACCTGGAGGTCCGAAAAATGCATGCCATATCCACAGATCATATGAGGCTACAGCCTCTAAAACAATGGTGGGTTTGCCAGAACCACGGGTATATTGTCCTTTCCAAGCCGTGGGACAATTCTTCCATTCCCAATGCATGCAATCGATGCTTCATATCATCCCGGGAAACCCTCTCGACTCTCCAACAGCAAGTAGTCTTCGAAGATCCTCTGGAGTGGGTCGTCTGAGGTACTCATCCCCAAAGAGAACAATTACTCCTTCTACAAAATGTTCCAAACATTTACGAGCCGTAGTTTCACCTAGACGAAGATACTCATCAACCGTATCAAAAGCGGTACCATACGCCAAGAGACGGATAGCTGCTGTACACTTCTGAAGTGCTGAGAGACCAGGTCTTCCGGAAGCATCATTCCTCTGTTGAAAATAGGGAATTTCATTGCTAAGCCTCTCAACAATATGCATGAACAATGGCTTGTTCATTCTAAAACGCCGGCGGAAGAGATTATCGGTATATGTTGCATTTTCTGCGAAATAATCATTCCACAACCAGTTGTGGCCATCTTCGCGATTCCTCTCAATATAAGCTCTTTTCTTCCTTGGATTGCTTGTCTCCTGCTGAGCAACATAAGCATTGTAGAGATTTTCATACGTTTGATCATAAATTTGATTAAAAGCTTGATCAAAATTTTGTGTATAGGCTTGCTCGAAAAATTGATCAAAGGGGTCATTTTCAGATTCCTCATAATTGTTATTGGAAGACGAGGAAGCCATGACACAAAGAGAGGAAAAGGATTTGTGAATCCGAAAATAATTGGGAAAGCGAAATTGTATTTGAGAAGAACCACAAAAATCTTGAGAAGAAGAAAAACAAACAACAAACTTGAGGCTGCATTGTCGTTTGGAGTGATGATGGAAAAGAAGATGTTTAGAAAGGCAAAGATGTGAATTATATGGAGCTCGTTTGTCATATTTATAGGCAAAGTTGCATTCAGATTTGTGGCTGTCAAATTCACAAAATATATTACATCACACACAAAAGAATAGAAATTTAGAAATGTCCATAGACCACACAGTTTTGTCACGGGCATCTTCTCTGTTATCTTTATATTGATATCTTTGTTTCCTTGTGTCACGGGCATCTTCTACAATGGCATTGTCTCTTTATGCCTTTGTCTTTTCATGTCACGAGGAGACATGAATCTCCAATTCTACAAAAAAAGGAAACACAACCACAAAAGCAGAGTTCATTAAAACAGAAACATGTATTAAAACAAACATCAGTCCTCATAAAAGGCTTCCCTCAACAACTAAACAGACTTCATTTAAAGAACAAACATAAATCCTCAACAACTAAACAGAGTTCATTTAAAGAAAACCAGCTAGATTCATTAAACAGAAGGGGTTTTAAAAACCGATACACCAACCAAACAGATAACTAAAACAACAAGGGTTTATGACACAGATAACTAAAACGGATAACTAAAACAGATAACTAAAAGATCATATGACAAATCGAACAAACATGACACAAATTATGCATTCAACAAGTCTGTTATCAGCTTCTGCTTCATGGCTTCTTCGAACTCTGTCAGGGACTCGTTCTTGGCGATGAGACGGTCAAGCAATGACATCTTCGACATTCTCTCCTTTATGGCCAGTTCTTTCTCCTTTATGCCCCACAGATCATTAAACTTGAAACAGCTTTCTCATCGATCACAAAGCCTGACTTCTTCCCTTTGGCTTTTGAGGCCTTAACACCCGGAGGCCTGCTTCCTGCTTGAACTTCATCGGCCTCTTCATCTGGACCCGACTGAGCTCCATCTTCAACCCTTCGTCGTTTACAACCTCCATCGATTTTGGAGCTGTTCTGCTCACACCACTTTTGATCACTACGAAGCTCCTTCCAGGCGTGATCCATTGTGAACCTCTTCTTATTGTCATTGTAGTAAATCTCGTGTGCAAGCTTTAGAACATCACTATCGTTTTGGCCAGATGTTCTCTGCCTTGTTGCAGCATCATAGGCACCACAGAATTTGCAAACTGCTTCATTTATCTTCTGCCACCTTTGTTTACACGCAATGGGCTCCCGGTTTACAAACTCTGATGGCTTTTGGCTTCCATTGAAGTAGTCAGCAATTCTCCTCCAAAAAGTACCTGACTTCTGCTCGTTTGCGATGACAGGATCCTTCGACGTGTTGAGCCAAGAGCTAATCAGAAGCACATCATCACTAGGCGTCCACACCCTCCTGGAGCTTGTTTCCTTCTCCTTCTCCTTCTCTTCACTGAAGGTTACATCTCCCTGAAACCCTTGAGAACAGAAGACTGGAGGCTGCGAAGATTCTAGTGGGACACAGGGGAATGTAGCCGCACTCTCCTGTTGACTGTTCAACAGGTCAAGAAAAGGAGAAGACTGGCTGAAAGGATATGAAGACATATCGAGAAAGGGAAATGGGAAGAATGAAGTTGGTGGTGTGAGAAGATAGAGACGAAGAAAGACAAAGAAGATGATAGAGAACAAAGAAGAAGAGATGATGTTTTGCTTTGACTGATCGGAGATGCAAAAACAAAGTGGCCAGAAACATCCTTTAAGTACAATGAGAAGAAGGAGATGCAAAAAGAAAACAACTGCATTCAACACACACAACCATATCGACATGACAAGCATTCATGTTGATATGCAGCTCAGTCTAACCAGCTTCTCCTAATCCAATTACAACCTAACTAACCGATAAACTAGCATTACACATTTATTATTATCAACCTAACCATTAAACTACACTAACCTATACAAACCTAGACTAACCTAAACGCAATTATAAATACTAACCTGAGATATTGGCAGGACTGGAGGACATGACTCTGTTGTTTTTAGAGACATGAAGAGGAACCCTGCAACCAAAGCTTCAGACAAACAAATAAATTATCAGAACCAAAACTCAAGTCTAACAAGGACCGAGACATTTGACTTCTTTTCATGTTAACAAACTCAAATCATCTAAAAATCCATTCAAGTATAAGACATCATTTAAAAATCCATATCAAACTAGCAGCACAGCATATCGAACCATATTAATGCATTTTCAAAACAAGTAGAAGACATATGACTCTCAAAACCATCGAACCATTTCAAACTCATATAAAACATCAAGCATGAAGCTCAAGCAATAACAAAATCAAAACATCTGAAGCAATAATCGAATACATATCATTTTGACAACCATCGATCCATATCAATCTCAAATCACAACACCTAAAACCAAATCATCTCAACAAATAATCGATTTCATATGCATGCAAGGATAAAAACAAAGCACATCAAAAACCCAAATCAAAACGTCTATAAACTATGCCCAAATCGATTTACAGGTGAGAAACATCACTACCACAACAACATAGATTAGATTCGTTTGTACTTATCTTTTTTTGTCGATTCGATGCAGCCCAAGAATCCGGCGATGATGCGAGAGGTCGTCGAAGAAAAGACACCGACGATGATGCGATTTCAGGCCGCGATTGGAAGAAAAGACGCCGCCGGTTAGTCGATTTCTCCGCCGGATGACGGTCATCGCCAATGACAGATGAGCATGGCCGGAAGAAATCGCATCGGTGGTGGCTCCAGGGTTTTTTTTCACGCGATATGAAATATGAGCCGACCCAAAAAAAATTTTGCAACACCAAATTTCCTCCAATCTTCAATAGCCAATGAAAAATGTCCACGTCACAAACAAGAATCGATCCTTTTAATCCTAAAATTAGGATCGATCCTCTTTATTAAACATGCTTTTTAGATTAAAAAAATGCTAAAAAATACTAGAAACTCTCTCAGAAACCATTGATAAACATGGTCTTAGAAACCGAATCCAACTTTTTCAGTCAACTCCATTAATTTACTTCCGTGATGAATCTAACCTACACCTATTTGTGGATGTTGATGTAAAAGGCTAAAAGCAAATAGTATAGTATATAACTTTCTATTTTTGGTTTTTGTGCATCGAAATAAGCAGTTTCAAATTCTTTGACACCTCACCAAAAAAAAAAAAACAGACAAAGAATGAAATTAAAAAAAAAAAAAAATCAGGCAAAGAAAAAATTAATGTGCAATTAGATAGAAGAGAGAGCAACATTACCGGAGCCGACTGTGTAGCGATTTATTCTAGGTCGTCAAAAAAGGCAACGGTCTCATCCAAATATATAGGCGGGAAAATATGCAGAAAGGACTCACTTACAACCCGCCACGTGTCAGTTACTGAATGGCTGATTCTTTCGTACTTAATGTTGACGAAATAACTCTGACATTTTCCTAGGAGACAGTGACGATAATTAAAAGAACAGAGCGATGGAGGACCCACTTAATTACCCACGTATTTTGCTGGTCCCACCGTGACGCCGTTTACTTATGCGATTAGTCACGCCGTGACGGTCACGGTGTCTCTTACAGCCGTGACCTTGAAGTTGATGCTGTTTGTTGCTGTAAGTCTGTAAAAGACACACTATTCAGTCAGACAAATTAGATGAAGACATCCTTCCGCTTAATTTATTTTGTTTTGCTTGACATTTTTTTAAATATAGTTTACCTTTTATTTTATTTTATTTTTTTAACTATCTTTCTTTAGTTTTCTTTCGGATTCAAAGCATAAGAAAATCTTAGAGCATATTCTCCATTCACCTAAACTAACTCATATGCACCGCACGTATATATAGTTTGTCATTTTAAGAAGAAAAACCATATTTACACAACAGATTACATAGTGTTTTTTATGGGTATATATTTGAACGGTCTTCGTTATTATGAAAATAAATTACTTTTTTCTTTCATTTAACCTATTCGGTATGTCCCATATGTCTATATTGGAGGATATAGTTATAGATGGTTTATGTCCAGTTAAGGTTAGTATCAGTTTCCTGGTTCAACTGTAAATTAAGATTAGGTGTTGGTTTAGGCTGGTTTACACATTGCAACTGTATATATTGTAAACGGTCACATTTCTGAGGAATAAGAGAAAATATTCTTCAACAAACTTTATCTTTCTCAACTTCTTCTTCTCCGATTCTAGATCGTAATAGTCTAGTTAAGAGTTATAACCCAAAAATAAAAAGCTACAAAAACTGGCCTAAACAGAGTTCACCGGACCACCGCGAACATAAATCTTCACAAAGCCCGCCACATCAACTCCGTCCTATCCCTACCGGTTTGACCTAGAGAGAAATTTGACCATCAACGGGAGAGGACGCAACTGAAAGCAAATCAAATCATATTAAACATCTTAGTTATGATATTCAGTTCAAAACTGACCTAATTACTCTCTAATATTTCTACACTATATCTAAGCTAAGATTCAGTTCTTAGGAAATGAGAAGTTTCTATGCTAAGAAAGCTTCCACAATTGCATAGTGTTCAAAGTACGGGTTTTGTTTTGTTTTTTCTCCAAAAAATATAGAAAAAAATTATTAAAACTTAATTCCGCCAGTCAATAGTCAATACATATATACTGTATATTCAAAAAAAGTTATTTGTGTTATAAACAAATGGACTTCTAGTAACCGGCCCATTAACCATCAGGTTAATGTCTCATGGCCCATTAGGGTTTCTAATACATTAGTTATGTAATGTATATATACACTGCTTATGGAAATAATAAGATTAGAGTTTTTCCCTTAATACATTATCAGCACGAAGCTCAACTTCAAACAATCATATCTCTCAAAATACAAGGAGTTAGAAGGCGATCTACATATCATTTTGAAGCCCTGGAAGAGAAGAATCTAGTGGTGAAAACCTCTCCTCAATCCGACACCAGACGCGCCCTCAAGACTCAAAACAATCGGCGCTGTCCCACCTTAGCGGGTGATTCTTTCCAAGCGGTGGTTCCTCTATAGTAGCAGCTGTTCGTCCTCCCTTCTGGCCATCATTCTCAGGAGTTTCCAGTAGATATCTGTGGTCTTTAGCTCTCAGATCATAAGCCGGTCAGAAATCCATTTGGCGAAAAGGTATTATCTAAAACTATAGATCCTAATCAAAGTTTTGGTTTTTTTTTTTTTTTGAAAATCCTAATATGGATCGGTTCTTTTCATGATTCTTCATCGTCTTTTTCGTTTTTAAAACCATAACCAAACCGATCCTCTTTCTTCTTGTCAAAACCCTAATTGGTTTTATTTTCCTAACCGGCTTTATCATATAAAACCTAAACCCTAATGCTTTGTTCAAACCCTATACCGATCGGTCCTAGCATCATCTAAACCAAACACTAAAATTCCTTGCAAACCGAAACCTAAATCTTTGCAAAACCCTAGATCTAAAATCGTTTTGGTTTGTCTATCGTTAAACCGAGATTGATCGGTTTAAATCCTAAACCGATCGGTTATTTATCTTAGATCCGATCCTTGAAAACCCTAAAACCGGTCTATGCAAGCTCCTAAATCCTAAACCAATCGACCCCTTAAACTCTAAACCAATCGATCCACCTAAACCGTTTATAAACCGATAAATTCTAATCCTAAATCGATAGGGTTTAAGTTTAAACTGATCGGTTTTTCCTAATAAAAATTAAACCCTAGCAAATCCCTTAACCGATTAATAACCCTAATAACCGGTTTCCAAAATTAAATCTAATTTAACCGGTTTTGTTGTTTAATCGATCAATCCGATCGGTTTAAGCTTAATCGGTTAATTTCAAATTAGTTTCCAAAATTAATCTAAAAAAAAAAAAAAAAAATTAATTTCAAATTAGTTTATCTATTAGAGCTAAATTTGGAAACCCTAGTAAACCGGCTAGGTTATAAACCCTAAGGTTCGATTTTAGAGTTCCCTTATATAGCAAGTTTCCTAAAATAGCAAGTTTCCTGAAATGGAAAGTTTTCCCAAGAATACCTTAAATCCCTTATTCCAATGACCATAGTCTCATACTATTGATTATTTAACATAAATTATTATATGTTTCAGATGTCAAACATTCAGAAAGTCGAATATGAGGTACTCACTGTCTCCGGAGATAACTACCTCAAATGGACCCTTGACACCAAGATCTACCTCAACTCAAAAAGTCTGGGTGAATGCATCAAAGATCCCAACACCGCAACTCAAACAGAACGGTACTCGGCGATATTTATTATCCGCCATCACCTCGCTGAGTCTCTCAAGCAACAATACCTCACTCTTGAGGATCCACTCAAACTTTGGGTGGCACTGAAAAAGCGATATGACCATCAGAAAACGGTCATACTGCCCCAAGCCAAGTTCGACTGGAAGAACCTACGGTTCGAAGATTTCAAATCCGTCGAAGAATTCAATTCCGAACTCTTTCGGATAGTTGCACTCATAAAACTATGTGGCGAGGAGGTCACTGATAAGGATATGCTAGAGAAAACATTCTCTACTTTTGGCACTCCCAATGTTGTTCTCCAACAACAATACCGTGCCATGAATCATAGCACCTA